TAATAATAATAATAATAATAATAATAATAATAATAATAATAATAATAATAATAATAATAATAATAATAATAATAATAATAATAATAATAATAATAATAATAATAATAATAATAATAATAATAATAATAATAATAATAATAATAATAATAATAATAATAATAATAATAATAATAATAATAATAATAATAATAAATAGGGTATTAACTACATCACTACATCTGTCATTTAGTTCCGTATTGTGGAGCTAAACAACAGAACAACGGGAACAAATGTCCTTCGACGCATCAACAGTGATATATCATCAATCATAAGGAAGGAATGATGGTGATGAAGAATTTTGAAACATATCTTGAAAAATTGAAATGTTCAAGCACTTCATTCTAAACCATATAGATCAAGAGATGGAGGATGGAAATGGAGAAATTACTGACAAATTGAAGAATAAATCGATTGATGAAATGATCAGCATTGCAGTTGTTTGGTTGATTTGGTAATGGAATTCAAAGAAGAGCTTTGGTGTTGATGGTTGTGCTGTTGATAGAATCATAGAGTACCTCCTCCCTCGCTTCACCTCTTCCTACATCTTCCTGCTCTCTTGACTGATCGGTCTTTAGTTGCTATAAGCAAATATCTTATGAACGATATAAGATTCCTTAGAAACGTACTCTCTAGCTAACTTACACCAGCAAGTCATTAATGGTTTTTCTTCACAATTTCCCAATATTTCCGTTTCAGGTTTGTTTAAGTTAAAGATTGAAGATTATGACAATCTTTTTTTTTTACTTTTAGCCTGTTGCATTCCTGGCCTTTCATTAAGAGTTTGGAAAGTTTTTTGTTCTCCTTCCATCCTTCATCCTCCCCCCTCAACACGTTAGCATCCACACATCCACAGTTGTTCTACATCTTTTGAGAGTTTCAAAAAAAAAAGGAAGGAAAAAATCTCCACGAGCACTTTGGAGAGTTTCTAAAAGTTCTCCATATATCTACGTTTTAGTACTTTAAATATTTATAACTTTGAACATAACTGTTTCACAATTAGCTGAAGTCTTGTTCAGTTCCCAAAACTTCTATATACGATATGTTTATTTTGAAAATTATCTTCCGATTTTTTAGAAAATTTTGAAGATTTCAGGCATAATTCCGGAATGGTTTGCTTCAACAATCAGATATTTGTTGCTTTCAAAACTTTAGTTCCTCTATCAATATATAACCGTTGTTTAACATATAGCTTATTCTCATGTATTTAACAACCATACAACGATATTATTGGTCGTAAGCAAACAATAAATCAAAATCAAGTAATTTAAAACATAATTTAAAACATGTTTTTTGATCTTTTGTAATATTGCAACCAAATAATAAAATTCTTAATTAATTCATCTTTCTTGATATTGGCTAATTCCAGTACACAAAGTGACTTTGAATCTTTTGAATCAATTCAGTGTCGTACTTGACATCGAACAAACAAAGAAAATGAAGTTATCCGCAAAACGAATCTTTTATTGATAGTTGGGAAAAAAGAAGATCGAACAAAATGCAATATGCCATGATAAATATTTGAGTTTAGAAAATTTTTCCCATTTTGAAAATAATCATACTAATTTTTGACAATTAATTTTTTCCTTGCAATTATATTACCCAGAATGAATCTCTATTAAATGAATCGAAATTGAGTATTCCAAACATCTTCCAACTCTGAAATTAGTACATGAAGATTTTATTCTGAATTCACATTTTCTAAAGTGGGGAAGATCAATTGGGAAAATAAAACAGATAATTTTTGATCTTTGTTGTACTGCAACCAAAAAAATGAAATTTTTAAATGATTCATCTTTCTTGATATGAAGCAAAGAATGGGTAGAATCATTTATTATGATTAAAAAAAGATGGTGAAACCAAGCGGATTTTTTGAAATAAAAAATTATCCAGATAGAATCTCTTGAGATCTTGGTGTTTACCCGTTCGAAATAAGTGACGATACTTCTCGCAAAGCCGAAGTTATGAGATAAAAATACACACATACACGCGCACGCACACACGCACACACGCGCACACACACACACACACACACACACACACACACACACACACACACATTCTACTCGACATTTCTTATACAGTTTTTTGATTAAAAATTTTTAAAATGAAGAAACAAACGAATATATAAGCAACGAACATTCTGTCGAATTCATTTTGTTTTTTGTTTTTTTTTTTTCTCTCCAAATAAAGACTGATTTCATCAGAGGGTTAGTCTTAAAGGATTAATTATCACTGGTTCAGCTTCTTGGCCTGAACAGATATGTTTTACTGTACTGATAGCATTCGAAAAAGCTTGTCTATTTTCTGAAGACTAAACGTGAATTCTATAAGCAATTGCTTTATCATAATCAATCCTTATCCATTATGACTGGAATTTCATGCAATAATGTTACTTTCTTCCTTTTTCCAGTCCGGAAAGTTGGAGGATACAATTATTATGACATTAAGAATATGCATATGTATGAATAATTTACAGCAAGTTTTTACTTTCGTTTAAAAAAAATTGCTTTAAAATGAGAATGAAAAGATGTAAGGATGGACTAATTTCTTTCATGTTGAAATTTGTCTCCATTAACAGGATGCAGTATATAAGTAACACTTTATTATCTTTCAGGAATTATTGATTTCCTCGTTCAAAAAATTGCATGATCAAGGAAGGGAGAAGAAGGCCACAGTTCTGCCAATAGTATCGTTGTCCTTTTCATTTACTGGTTTCATTTCGGATATACAATAATTCTTTTTTTTTCTCCGGAATAATAAAATTTGTAGATCAGAGATGTCATTCTATTCCAGAATTGATCCCCCTTCCGCTTTCTCTTCCTGTTGCATGATTAATCTAAGCATTATTATTGACGCTAATTACGTTGGTAGGAGTTCATTTGTTGAAAATAAAAGATCATTTACATTAGCGAAGCATTATCGTACTGCTGATGCATGTTTCATGGATCGCATTGAACAACAGGTTGTTTAGTATTAATGAATGCAGAGTTTGATCCTTGTATAATTAACATGAAAATTAATTTTTTCATAAAATAAAATATTTGCATCGAAATGTTGGCAATCAAGGTGTAAATACAAAATGTTTTTTGATGGAAATTCGACCAAACGAATTAAAATTCCCACATTATCTATTAGTAAAAGATGTTGTAAATAGATGAAATCATCGATGCAGCAATTCTTAAAAAACAAATTTATTGGAAATTGTTAATGTCACAAAAGCGACATAAGCAAGTATTTGTTGAAGACTGAACTGAAACATCTGACTTCATTCAAATATTAAATTAGATGCCGATTGGAATATCATTTAATTTAAAATTAGACTTTTATTTTCTGTTTTATGTTCAGTTTTTTAAACAAAAACCAGAATATTTTATCCAAAAAAAAGGTACGCGCAAAAATGTCAGCGAATAGATTAATATGAGCCTGTAAACGACTGGCATCCTAAACCACTTGTGGGAAATTGATGGTTGATTGGTGGGTCTACGTTTGATGTGCAATTAAGACTCGAATAAAGAAAGACATCTTGCCAAAAATATCTGAATAATTTTAATAATTCTGACACAGGTAGTAGAATTATAGATTTTTTCGTTTTTAAATATTTCCTCTCAACGGGCATCTTCTGCGCTTAATCCACTAAATTCTCGTTAAAAGACACTGTATTGGACTAAAATAGCAATTCCGTGCATAGGAAATGTTTTGCGTAGATCTTTGAACACGTTGCAGAAATTCATTTTCTCTACTGTGCGTCTGCATAAGGTAATTGTGAGACATCAAAATCCTGTAAAAATTATGGTATACTGTTAAATCTATCTGCTATATTATTCATGAAAATGATGATAAAGAATCGAACATAAAGCAAAAGAAATTAGAATTAATTCGTTGCAGCTTTGCCTTCGATTGTAGGAAGACAAGATCTTCATTTGTGAGAAGGAAGAAAGCAAAACAGAAACAGAATTATATATCTTTTGATTAGATCATTATCGCTATTGATAATGAGCAACTTTCAATGTTGTGGAGAAAAACTTTAGGATGGCAATTTAATGAATCGAACATAATACAAGGATTAGGACATTAAAACTTCATTAGGACATTAAAACTTCATAGCTAATCTGTCAATCAATAACATTCCCGAAAAAAGTGATTGGGATCAAGATGTAAAAATAAAATTAATTTATTACTGCCCTTTAGCTGAAAAGCCTCCAGAGGAAAGTGTCATCATATAAACGATGTAAGTACCAATATTATTAGTTAAGGCTTAGTGGATAGGTAACGGGAGCAAGACAAGATTTTGATTCCTTTATCAATTAGTCATATCATTTCATTGTATTACTAGCAATGCATAGATGAAAAAACGGAAGAAGATAGCTAACTATTATGAATAGTAAACACAGAAATTATTATTATTATTATTATTATTATTATTATTATTATTATTATTATTATTATTATTATTATTATTATTATTATTATTATTATTA